TCTACTTCTTTCTATATAGACACAGTAACAGGCTGATCTCTCTTTCTTTTCCCCACACTTCAGGCCATCTGGATGTATACGTGCAGGTCACAGGGGATATGATGGCTTAGCTTGGGCTCAGAGGCCTGACATATAGATGAATGATTGTCATGTAATATGAATCTCACCACACCTGAGAGAGTGGGATAGATTCTCTCATTTTCATAGTTTGGGTATCTGAGTCCCTGAGAACCTGAATGCCTGACATGGATTCTCCAAGAACGTTGGCCTTGAGACTCTAAAGGGCCCCAGGTCTCTTGTGAAGCCCCCTGTGCATGCACCATGCCCGCAGAGGCCCCACACCTGCAGAGGCCCCACACCCGCAGAGGCCCTACACCTGCAGAGGCCCCACACCCGCAGAGGCCCTACACCTGCAGAAGCCCCACAACAGCGGGAAGAGCACCCAGGGTCAGAGCCCAGGCGAGTTCACACTCAGGGACCATCCACATCCAGGGTGTGCAGAGGAGGGGCCGAGGTGAGAGCCCAACCCCTGCCTAGGCTGTGGTGACAGGTAGGCTGCATGGGGGTCCCAGTGCTCCTGGAGCTATCATTCTTTACCTCCTGAAGACCCCGGACCTGCACATACCAAAACTCTGCATTTCTGGTGGAGCGGTCTTCTCTTTTGAGATGTAAACACTACTTCTCAAATCTTAAAGCCAGCCATTGCCACTCCTAAGGGATAAGCCTCTAAGTCCACTGAAATTAGCCTCAGAATTTCAGCTGAGGATTTGGAGCCACAGGCAGGAAGTCTGTGGGGTTTGTGCCTGGCTGATCTGGAAGGTGGTCCTGAAAGGTAGTGTGTGACTAAGTGGGCTCTGTGGGGCACGGATGTCCCTGAAGAGAGGAGGATGAGACAGATGGGAAGGTTCAAAAGTGAACTTTAGTGGGCCCTGTGCCCAGCACCAGGATTTGGAAAATCTTCTCCCAGCCACTTTTGGCCTGTGGGTTTTCATTCTGCTTTCCTGTCTGCCAGGCCATTGCAGGCAATCCCTTCATTTGGCAAACATTTATCAAATACCTACTGCGTGCCGGGCATTGTTTTAAGAGGAGCTGGGACTGAGGTAAGAGGCAGTAAACCCTCCTTGCTTCAAGGTGTGCCCGTCTTGCTCAGGCAGAGATCAGTAAGGAAATTATAACACAAATTGAGAGAGGAAAAAGGAAGAAACTGGTCAGGTGGGCAGTTATGGTGGGTCCTCAGTTGAATTATTTCAAACAAAAGAACAGCCTGCAGGCACAGAGAAGGGAACTTGCACAGGGGGACTTTCCTAAGACATGCCCACAGCTGCACAAATAAGAAAGGCTACACAGGAAACTTGCTCAGACATGCCCGCAGTGGAAAATTCTGTTCCCCGATACATGGGCAGTAAGGGAAACAAAGCAATGTGGAGTCAAGCTAAGGGTCCACATGGGCACTAGGAGGATGGGGTGGAGCTACCATAAATTCGTGCCTTATTCAAATGAGACACCCAGCCCTCATCAGCCTTTGCATTCAACTGTAAAAATGGCAACCCTCTTCCAAGCCCCCTCTGTGCAGGGGAGAGCTTTCTTTTTTTGCTTATTAAACTTTTGCTCCAACCTCACTCTTTGTATCCACGCTCCTTAATTCTCTTGGTGGTGAGACAAAGAACTCCAGGTAACACCTCACAAGGAGACACTGAGAGGCTGCTACATTGTGGTGCATTGGCAAGACTAACAAACTGGCTAGTGAGACATGCACACTTGCTTGGTAGACATATATGTAGATCTTCAGCTCTGACTAATGAAGGAATACCAAAAATCTCATAAAAGAAAAGAATATTATTTGAGTTTTGTTTTGTGGTGTAAGTGGGAGCACCACAGACACCCAGGATAGGAGAGCTTTGCTCAGAATCCAGGAAGTGAACATCTTCCTCTGGGCCAGGCCAAGAATGAGAATAAGCTGATCAAGGAGCCTGGTGCTTCCTGGCAGAAAGGGTGTCTAACATCTGACTATCCAGAAGTCACAGTTATTCAATATTGAGACTTGAAACAAAGAGTGAGAGACAGAGAGAGAGAGAGAGAGAGAGAGAGAGAGATCTGATTTGAAAAGCAGAATTCTGCTGGGGGCTTGTTAAAATGGAGAGTTTCTGATACAGTAGGTCCAGGCCAGGCCCTGAAGATTGCATATCTAAGTTCCCAGGTGATGCCAGTGCTGCTTCCCCCAGGACCGCACTTTGCGAACCACCACCCTAAGGCAATCCGTGTTGATTTCTAATATCAGAAGAGGGCTGGGAGTGGGCTGGGAGGCAGAAGTGTAGGATCAATGAGACCACACCTGACTCATCCTGGACAGCTCCCCACCCCAAGCTTGCAGCATTTGATTTCCTTGGAGTCCCGGGAATATCAGACACCCAAGAAGGGACCAAATGTGGAGTCACAGAGTGATCCAAAGGCT